TGAAAACTGTGCAGAACTCCCAAGCTTGAGAAGAAGCCCACTAATATAGCCATGCAAGTGTGACATCACCTGGCAGCTGCCTCACCCACAAAAAAAGTTTTCCTCATTTCTCCTTTGGCCAGATTCAAATGGGTTATGAGTCTCCCAAAACTTCTGTCAAGAAAGTTGATCCATGGGAGAATAAAACTTTTTAAGACAGGGTTTTTTCCTATTTACCACTAGTTCTAAAGGCACATAGTCCCAAAAGTCTGTTTCTGAGACTTCCTTTCTTTCATATAGTCAGGGTGCACTAGATTATGTGCTGGTAACAAACTCCTTAAAATCTCCTTGACTCTTGATTATAAGATGATTTACCACTCATGCTACATTTCTGTCACAGGTCAGTTATGGCTCTGCCCCAAGAACCAAAGGAGCAGCTACTACTGGAGATTGACAATCACCACGGCAAAAGGAAAGTGAACTTGTCAGAAGTACATGTTGGCTTCTAGAGCTTCTTGATTGGCTAGAGCAAGTCCCATGGCCATGATTAGGTTCAAAAGGATAGGGATATATAATCCTTCCCCAGGGAGGAGTACTAGAGAGAGGATATCAAATAGGAGTTGACTAGTTATACAATCCACCATACCCTTGACTTGCCAGGCTTCCATCATCCTTATAATTTAATCACCATTACAAGCACTACCACCATCATCATTACCCACAGCACCATCACTGTCCATCACCACCACCACTACCCCCAACCTCATCAGAATCACATCAGCATCCTCATCAACAACATGCTATTGTCTTAACCCAGGGTCCCTGGAAAAGACATCCTGCCTGGGAGAGAAGCTTACACACTAATATTCTGTTGGAGAAAAAAAAGAAAAAAAGGGGACAGACACAGGGAAAGAGGGAGAGCAAATAAAAAGAGGATATTTAAGAAGCATGCCACATTTCACAGCAAATACAACTGATTGCTCAATCTGGCAGGTCATCTTTAGATCTTAACAGTTCATCTGCCACACCTCTTCCTCATTCATTTGTGCAGAGGAATGAAACAGAACTTAGCTAATGATGCTTCCTGGCCCTTATATCCCACTGGTCAAATTCAGCTCTTCTGAGATGTGTGACATGGTCTCCCCAGGCAACCTCTAGAGGAGCCAGAGCTTCTGGGGGTCTGGGGCACAGCAGTCAATCTCATTATGCAGTAGTGTCTTCTAGGATCTTCCTTCCATCTGTAGTGGGAGTGATTACAGAGCCAGAGTTGTGGGAATAATATGCTGGGCTCTTACTGACTCTGCTCAGCTGCAAGACAAGGCAAGTAAGAGGGAAGGTGTGGCCACATGGACCTAGAGTGGCATACAAATGGAGTCCAGTATAGTCCACCCCTTGTGCCTTTAAGATCCACTCCTTCCTATTTATAACATATGTATCCCCCAAATCAGAACAGGACACTTTCAACTCTTCCACAAGAAGTGAGATGAAAATCCAGTTCTTCAAGGTGATGGCATGTGAAAAGACTTACAGGCGGTTAGCAGGCCAAACTTGCTACAGCTGTATGATGGCAGCTGGTCCTGGGATCATTATAACTGATAATCATCACTGCTTCATTCAGCATCCATTTTGACTGACCTGGACTGTTCCCTGGTACAGTGACCTAGAACTTCTACTTCAATAGGTCTGAATCCTTAGTTGCCCCAACCTTGTAGAACCATTGTTGCTAGAGTTGCCCACAGGCACACAGTGAGTGGCACCAAAATATGGCCCTAGTGAATCCTCTATCTTCATGACATACTCTTTCCTGTCCCCATTATGTAACAGCAAACTTGGATCCTCATGGTAATCAGAGTCAATTACTGCCCCTGCCCTATGACTTCTTTCTTTTCCTATTGGTTTCACTGGCATAAGGACCTAGGATCTATTTGTTTAAAAAAATGCTAACCACTAACTGAGCTTTCAGGAAGTAGCAATCACTGATCACAGATCACCATAACAAATGTAATAAAAGGAAAGTTCAAAATATTTCAAGAATAATGAAAATGTGAAAGAGACAAAAAGTGAGATGTTGGTGGGGAAATGACACCAATAGAAGCTCAATGCAGGGTGACCACTAACCTGCAACTTGAAAAATCAAACAAACAACCCACAATGTCTGTGAAGCACAATAAAATGAAGTGTGCTTGTATTTATCCTTGGGATTCATCGAGCGTCTTGATTGTGTCCCTTTAAGTCTTCACTAAATGGAGAATTTCAGTCATTGCTTCTTCAAACATTTTGGGTTCTGCCTCACTTTCTCTTTCTGGGACACCAATTCTACAGATATTAGACAATTGGACGTTGTCCCAAGGGTATCTGATGCTCTAGTCTCTCTCTCTTTCTCTCTCTCTTTTTTAAGTAGGCTCCATGCCCAGCTTGGAGTCCAACCCAGGACTCAAACTCACAACTCTGAGATCAAGATCTGAGCTGAAGTCAAGAGTCAGATGCTTAACTGACTGAGCTACTCAGGTGCCCCTCTAGTCTCTGTTTTATTCAGTCATTTGTCTCTCTCTGCTTCATATTATACAATTTCCACTCATCATCTTCAAGCTCACTAACTCTTTCATTATCTCCATTTTCTTTGACTCCTTTTTAGTTCATTGATTTCTAGAATTATCTATATTATTTCCTTTACACTATTAACTTTAGGTTTAATTTGCTTTTCTTCTTCTAGCTTCTAAAAGGTGGAAGTCAGATCATTGATTTTAAACTTTTTCTTAATATGAGAATTTCAAGCTATCATGCTTTATTTTTATCCCACAGATTTTTACATGCTGTATTTTCATTATCATTCAGTTCAAAGTACTTTCTAATTTCCTGTATGATGACTTCCATGACCTATGGCTTTCTTAGAAGTACACTGTTTAATTTTTAAATATTTGGGGATTTTCCAAATGTTTTTTTGTTACACATTCTGTATTATTTCAGTCTTTTGAAGTTCATTAAGACTAGTTTATGGCCCAGTATATGATCTGCATAGTACACATCCCATATGCACTGGAAAAGAATGATTGTACATTCTACAGATGTTGGATGTGCTGCTCTATAATTGTCACTTAGATCACATTAGTTCATAGTGTTCAAATTTTCTATAAACTTGTTTTGGTTACTGGTTCTATGAATTACACTGAGATGATATTAAAATATCCAACTGTGATTGTAGAATTCTTTTTCTCCTTTTATTCCCACCAATATTTGACTCATGTATTTTTGCAGCTTGTCATTCGGGGGGTATGCATTTAGGATTACTATATCTTCCTAATGAATTGGTCCTTTTATTATGAAATGATCCTTTTATATCTGTAATACTCTTTACTTTTCTGATATTGACATATTAATATAGTATCTTCTTCTGCTAAGTGTTTACAAGTTATATATTTTTCCATCCTTTACTTTCAACCTCTCTATGTCCCTAGATTGAAAGTGGTTTTCTAGGGTGCCTGGGTGGCCCACTTGGTTGAACTGCTGATTCTTGATCTCAGCCTACGTCTTAATTTTAAGGTTGTGAGTTCAAGCCCTGTGTTGGGCTCTCCATGCTGGGCATGGAGACTACTTAAAAAAAAAAAAAAAAAGAAAGAGAAAAAGAAGAAGCAAGTGGATTTCTCATAAAAAGCATATAATTGGGTCTTACTTTTATAACCCTCTAATATCTTCTGTAGTTGGAGTATTTAGTATTAGTCAATGTACATTTGACAAATGCGTTGATATGGTGGATTTAGTTCTATCATCTTACTATTTTTTGCTATTTTCCCTGTGTTTTTTTGTTTCTCTGTTTTTCTTTTCCTATTATCATTTGGGTAAATAATTTTTTTTAGTATTCCATTCTATCTCTTCCATTGGCTTTTAAAAAAAGATTTATTTATTTATTTTAGAAAGAGAAAGCATGAGTGAGAGGGGAAGAGGAAGAGGAAGAGAGATTCTCAAGCAGACTCCATGCTGAGCTGACATGGGGTTGGATCTTACGACCCTGAGATCACAACCTGAGCTGAAACCAAGAGTCAGACATTTAACCAACTATTCCACCGAGGTGCCCCCTTCCATTGGCTTTTAAGCCATACTTCTTTGCATTACTTCTTGGTGGGTCTCATAGAATTATAATATACATACTTGATTTATCACAGTGTACCTTGAATTAATGTTACACAACTTCACATATAAAACTTATAATAGTAAAATTCCATTTACTCTTCCCCCTTTTATGCAATTGTTGTCATATATTTACCTTTTACATAATACATTGTTATTGTCTTTATGCTAAAGAATTATATTTTAAGAAAATAATCTTTCTTTTTTCCCATATATTTACCATTTAATCACTCTTTATTTCCTCTTACAGATTCAAATTTCCATGCAATACCATTTATCTGATAATACCTTTATTTTTTGCCTTCATTTTTTCTTATTTATTTCACTTTCATTTTTGGAAGATTTTTATACTAGATATGGAATCCTAAGTTGATGGATTTTAATATGTCATGCCATTCTCTTCTTGACTATTTTTTATGAGAAGTCAGCTGTTATTCTTATCATTTCCCTTTATGCTGCCTCTCTAGAGTTTTTATCTAGCTGTCTTTAAGACTTTTTACTTATTTATTGCTTTCATCATTTTGATCATGTGTGATTTTCTTTGTATTTATCTCCCTTGGGGTTTGCTCTCCTTTTTGGATCTGTAAATTGCTGTCTTTGATCAAATTGGGAGATTTTGATCAATATTTGTTCAAATATTTTTCGTGCCCTATCTATACTCTTAGGCTCTTGGTTTTATTATCTCCCCTCAAGCCCCTATCTTGCCATCCCAGGACTCCAAGTACATGTATTCTAAACTCCTTCAAAAACCTCTCAAAGGTTATTGAGATCTTATTCTTTTATTTTCATTTTTCCTCTCTTTCTGTTTCAGTTCAGATAATTTCCATTGGCCTGTCTTGAAGCTCACTCATCCTTTTTTCTATTCTGTCTAACCTGTTCTTAATCTCATCTGATAGGCGGACCTGGTACCTCTTTTGTGAAGCAGCAGCTGAGGAGACTCTGGCACTCACCATCACCGACAAAAAGCCCAAGGAAGGAGTGAAGACTGAGAACAACGATCATATTAATTTGAAGGTGGCGGGGCAGGATGGTTCTGTGGTGCAGTTTAAGATTAAGAGGCATACACCACTTAGTAAACTAATGAAAGCCTATTGTGAACGACAGGGTTTGTCAATGAGGCAGATCAGATTCCGATTTGATGGGCAGCCAATCAATGAAACAGACACACCTGCACAGTTGGAAATGGAGGATGAAGATACAATTGATGTGTTCCAGCAGCAGACAGGAGGTGTCTACTAAAAAGGGAACCTGCTACTTTACTCCAGAACTCTGTTCCTCCAGACCAAGAAGACATTCTCAAATAGAAAGCCGTAATTTGGTTCCACCACATCCTGACTACTACAGTATAGTTTTCTCTATTCTTTCATTTTCCCCTTCCCCATTCCTTTATTGTACATAAAGTAACTGTGTATGTGCACAAGCATATTGCATTTTTTTAACTAAATGGCCAATGGTATGTTTTGATCGATATCAAATGGAGATGGGATGGGGGAAAATACTGCTTCTGTGAAAATACTCCCTCTCTCCATTAGTGGCATGTTCAGTCAGCTCTTATCTTTATACTCCAGTAAGTTATTTTGCTCTCACTGTTTAACAAAAAAAAAAAAGAACAACATAAAAATCCTTGCATACCTTGTTCGATTGGAGAATTTTAATGTTTTTCATTTATGATTGTAAAACCAAGGACAATTTTATAACTTTTTTGTACATAGCTGTTACATGTAGGGCAATCTGTCTTTAAGTAGGGATAAATTACTCTAAAAGAAATGAATCCCAGATAGTTTTCCCTTCAAGTCAAGCGTCTTGTTGTTTAAACTTCTTGTTTAAAAAAAAAAAATCTCATCTGATTCTTAGATATTTTAATTTTTAGTGTTAACATTTCCATTTAGTTCTGTTTTATTGTTTTATATTTCAAATATCTTTTGAAATTCCCCTTCTCATCACCATTATATCATCTTTTACTGTAGACTCTAACATACTCATCACAATTATTTTGAGATTTTATTTGCTAAAGCTAACACTTAGAGCAATGCAAGGTCTGCTTCTATTGACTGGTTTTTCTTTCAACTATGTGCCCCATTTTCCTGTTTTTTCTCATGTCTAATAAATATTTTATTATATCCTGGACCTTATGGATGATGTGCTATGGAGACTCTGGATACTGTTACCTTCCTTAGACAAATATTGGTTTTTGTTCCAGCAAGCATTTAAACTACTGGCAGATAACCTTGATTTTTTGGAGGCTTTATTTTAAGCCTTATTAGGGTAGGTCTTTTCAGTTTTTCCTTTTTCCTCAGGGGCATCCCTTACTCATTTTGTACATGGTTCTTACACCTAGAGTTTGACCCTTCTGACATTTTATTTTATTTATTTTTAAAAGATTTTATTTATTTATTCATGAGAGACACACAGAGGCAGAGACATAGGGAGAGGGAGAAGCAGGCTCCTTGAGGGGAGCCTGATGTATAACTCAATTCCGGGACTCTAGGGTCACGCCCTGAGCTGAAGGCAGACATTCAACTGCTGAGCCACACAGGCACCCCTCTTCTGACATTTTAATAGAAAAGTTGAAGTGTACAGCAAGCTCTATTAACTGTCAGAACTTGTACTCTACATTGTATATTCATAACCCTGGGGAGTTGGTATAATATCTGCTTAATAAGATCCCTAGAACTTTCTTCTGGGTACCTTGGAGTCTTGCTCTGTGTCTTCATAGTGCAGGGGTCAGCCAAGGATTGAGAGCCAACTGAATGCAGATTTAGAGGTTTGTTCTCACATGACTCCCTCTTTTTCTGGATATACTCCTTCAACTTTCAGCCATTCTAGCATCCCTGAGCTCCAATCTCTGCTTGGCCCATTTGGAATTCTATGTGAAATCGTATACATTAAGTAGACTGGGGAGTGCTCTCAAGGGAAAAAAAAAAAAACATAAATAGGGATCTCACCTAGGATGTTTCCCCTTTTTTATGGGTAGTAGTCCCTCTGGATTCTGCCTGCTTTTGGTCACTCTACAGTGCCTTCAATCATTTTTTATGTCTTCCAAGAATTTTTAATTGTTGTCTCTGGGAAAATTAGTCTGATATAAGGTTCTCTGCCATTATTTGAGGCCATAATCTCTTGATATATTTTTAGTGTTCAAATTGATCAACATCTTAGTCAGTGTCCATATATCTCACCATTTGAAACCGAGATTTCCAGATATCTGTCACTTATTTGGTAAGCATCCTAATATCCTTCTAGGTATAACCATTTTGGTTTGAATTAGCCTAAATAAGTTCTGTTGTTTACAATCGAGGGCTGGAACCAATTCCTAGAGTTTACACTGACTGCACATTGCTCAAATCTTGCTTATATGAGTTGCTTCAAAGACCTCTACACAACCACTGAGTATTCATGGCTCTCTGAAAATGACCTCCTAGATCACTGCCAACTTTAATTTTTATCAATTTTTCACTTTTTTAGTTAATAGTTTGACTTAAAATATTTTATTTTTATAATAATTATATTTCTGAATATTACTAAATTTACTTTTTCCCAATACCATGAAATCATTCTATACTATGATTTGGACACTGCTTCACTAGCCCCTTCAACCTGCACCCTATTGGTTGGAATTCCTCTCCTTTACATGAGTTATAAGAGTCTATAACATCCTCACCAAACCATCTGCTTTGCTCTCCACTCATGAATACACATGCACACGTGCCCACACAGAGACACATACGTCAGATGTGTATGTTAAGGCAGATGTTCCAAACTCTTATACCCTTTACTCCCAGTGACAGGCAGAGAATAATTCCAGACAATTAGTAGAAGAGAAAAAGATGTATATTTGGAACATGGTGTATGACACCAAAGGCAGAAGTCAGGGAGAGAGAACATTGTGAGTGCACAGAAACTGATCTAGGGAATTTCAAGAAGTTCTCATGAGCTCATTTGGTTGTGCACTGTCCACTCATTTTCAGAACTCCGAAGTGCTGTACTCGTTAATGAGTATGTTAATGACCCTTCAGTTTACTCAGTAAAGGCCAATTTATGGAACATTCATGCTCTATTATGCAGGATTTCCTCTGTATCTCTGAAGTGAATCTCTCCTGATAGAGACCCAGAATGAGAATGGGCAGTCTTTTAAAAATTGGGTTCCTGGATCACTCTTCCTGCTGAAGTCAAGAGATGAAGAAAAGAATAGATTTTGGTAGTAACTTATTTTTTTGTGGCCTTGGGCAAGTCCATTATGAATAATAATAACTAGACATATACAGAACATTAAGAGCTATGTGTTATTCAAATACTTTAAAAGCCTTATTTCACTTAATCCTTATAACTAATGAGGTAGTTATCATTACTAGTCCGATTTCACAGATGAAAAAACAATACCATAATAACATGTTGTCTGAGCCCTGCCATAGTGGACAGTTTTTCTTCATGGTGTTTGATCCCTGGTTTCATAAATGCTGTGCATCAGATGAAAGAAGCAGCAGGACTGCAGCTATGACAGTTTCATCATATGGTTGGACATACCTCATGGTTGTGCTGATAGAATTAGCTTTGTGGCTTTCAAGCTTGGGTCCTGGACCTTGAAAAATTCTGTAAGTCCATTAGTATACTTCATTTGTTTTTCACTGCTATATAATACATTGCCACAAACTTAGTGGCTTAAAATAGCCATTAATATTAAAACATTAATTATCTCATAATTTCCATAAATCAAGAGTCCTCCACATTTTACCTAGGTCCTCCGCTCAGGACTTAATGGAGATCAAGGTGCCAGTCAACTGTGTCCTCTTCAGGAGGCTTGACTTTGGAAGATTAACTTCCAAGCTCTCTCAGGTTATTGGCAGAATTAATTTCCTCATGGCCATGTGATAAGGTTTCTGTTTTTTTAACTGTCAGCTGGGGACACAACTGGCTCCTAGAGGCTGTGTCTGGGTCCTTGCCATGTGGCCTTCTCTATAATAGGCAGTTTGCTTCTTCAAGGCTGACAGGAGGGCATCTGCTAACTTTTCTCATATCTTTTAAGAGGTTGAAGAATTGAGTGAACTATTTTGGTTTTGTTTTGGTTGAAATAAAATTTTTTAAAAACTCAATGGATGGCCTACAGAAGAATTGGAAGACAGTAATATAAGATTCAATTCTCATCAAGTTGATCTATAGTTAATACAATTCCTTTCAAAATCCTAGCAGGAATTTTTATAGATATATAGATGACTTAATTCTAAGGTTTATATGGGAGGCAAAGGAATTAGAAGAGCCAAAACAATTTTGGAAAAGAAGAATAAAGTTGTAGGAATCACACTATCCAATTTCAAGGTCTAATGTAAAGCTTTGGTAATCAAGGCAGTGTAGTAATGGTAAAAGGCAGAGAGGTCAGTAGAACAGAACAGGGAGATGAGAAATCAGCACACACATAGGGACAACTGATTTTAACAAGGGTGCAAAACCAATTCAATAAAGAATCTCATTCAATAAATTTTGTTAGAACAATTGGACATTCATGCTAACCTCATTCTAAACTTCACAACATAAGAAAAAAAAATTTTAATGGATCAGAGATCTCAATGTAAAACTTAATACTATAAAGCTTTTAGAGGAAAATGTCAGAGAAAACCCGAGTTAGAAAAAGCTTTCTTAGATCTGACACCAAAAGCATGATCCATAAAGAGCAATTTACTTCATCTAAATTACAAACTTTTGCTCTGTGAAAGGTATTGTTGGGAGAGTGAAAATACAAGCTACAGACTGGGAAAAAAATATGTGAAATCATATATCTGACAAAAATATGTGAAATCATATATTCTTTCCAGAATATAGATATCTTTAAAAAATCAACAGTAAGAAACTAGACAACTCAGTTTTAAAATGGACAAAACAAAAATAAATAAGTAAAAAATAAAATGGACAAAACACCTGGACAAAGAAAATATACAGATGGCAGATAAGCACACGAAAAGATGTATCTCATTGGCCATTAAGGAAACACAAATTAAAACACACCTATTAGAAAGGCTATTGTAAAATTTTTAAAAATCTGACAGTATCAAGCATTTTCAAGAGTGGGGAGAAAGTGAAATTTTCATACGTTGTGGGCAGAAATGCAAAATAATGTATTCACTCCAGAAAACACTTTGGCCGTTTCTTACAACCTACACCTACCATGTGACCCAACAATCCCACTTCTCAGGCATTTACCCTAAAGAAATGAAAATGTACATTCACACAGAAACCCTCATGTGAATGATTAGAGGAGCTCTAGTCATAATTGCTAAAATCTAGAAAGAACCAGAATGTCCTTCAGAGGTAAGTGGGTGAACAAACTGTGGTACATCCCCACAATGGAAAATTCATCTTTAAAAAGGAATGGACTATTGATACATACCAACAATGTGGGTAAATCTCAAGAACATTAAGATAAAGAGGCCAGTC